GCGACCGTCACGCGTTAACCTGCGCACGGCGCACTCACACGCAGTGGTGGATTTAAGTATCCGTGAGGAAATGGGTATACTAAACACCGGTGTACGCACAATACATACACGCGACTGAAGTAGACGAGATGAATATTATTGCTGACTTCCGAGCTCCTCGTAATAGTTGCTTCACGAACTTCAAATCTGCCGCGCGCGTATCGCTCGGCTATACTGTTCCCCTCCCCCTTCTTTCTTTCTCTCTGTTCTCTCTGTAATTTATTTCACTGGGTCACTTAATCGCGCATCAATACCGCCGTTTCCACCGCCGTGATCCACGTTTCCTCGCTTAAATCTCCACATCACTTCCTCAGCATCTGTAATTCCCCATAATTCTCAGATTTATATTTTTTATGCGCTTGCAGCAACGTGGACGTATCAGCAAAAAGGGAAAGAAGAACGAAATTATCCAAACATATCGCGAAGCAGATTGCAAAAATGCGACAGATATCAGACATTGTCGCGAAGTATCGTTTCTAGCGATAAACATACTCGAAACGAACCACGTGTCAATGTACCAGCGTCAAGCACTGTCCATTATCGTCCATCTGTTGCCGTATCTTTTGGTCGCTTTCATCATCAACACAACGTCTCATTGGATATCTTATCTTTGTATGGTCTTGTATGATTTAATTGACTAATAAAGTAAAAAAACTGTCATTATTATTATCTGCTAGATGAGACAACAGCAATCTTAAGTCTTGAAGAAAGGAAGAACAAACGAAAGACGACGATGGAAGTCCTTCGTAGGTCAGGTTGGCGACGCGTATTCTTGGGGAATTAACACACATTTGCGATGTTATTGCTTGAGAATACACGTATTTGGCCTGGCCGGTCACGTCACACAAGATACGTAACGACGCACACTCCAGCAAGATAATGCAACAGGAGTCAGCCCAGACGAAAAAAGAGTAAATAATATTTAGAGATACGCAGTTTTGGTTTAATCACTTCAACTTTGACGTATGTTGTTAAGATTATGTTCTTTAGCAATCTTCAGAAATGTCGTAACACTAATTACTTATTAAGAAATTATTAACAAGTTATTAACAAGTAGGCAATTCAAATGGTTATTCTTATGTGTCCCTTTTTAATCTTTAATCTTCTTATGTTTCTGCTTCAATTTTTTACCTAAAATAACGGATTCTGAAAAGATTAACAAGAGAGGTTGTTATGCGATATTTATGTTGCGACAACGTATCACTCAAATATTGCCTCATATTTTGTTATATATCTAAACTATATTTAAAAAAATTGTATTCTCCTTTTAAGAACATTCTATTTACATAAAGAATTCTTCTCTAAAATAGGCACCAAGAGGATTCTCTTACATTAAGAGTAAAATCAAACGTCATAAAGGATTAATATTACATATTCTAAATGTTAATAACTAAATATTCTAAATATTAATAATAGATATTCTAAATTTATAAGATCATATACTAGAGATAACGTACTGCATTGCGAGCAAAATCTTGATACATATTTGCGACAATTAAAAAAGTTTCGATCAGTTGCATTGGAAATCATAATTATATATTCACTTGAAAAAGATCATACTTAATATCTATCTTTTAGAAACTTACTCATAAAAGCATAATGCATTCGCCAGCTCGATAAGATCTTCCAGCCACTTCGTCATTTTTTTATTCATTATATACTTTTCAATAGCTATCTGAAACCAATTCTCTCTGTGCGAAGACGTGAAGATCGCGTAACTTGTACTAACAGTCGTAAACAAGCGGCAGCTCGTCGCAAGAAACGAACAGCGATTAGTAAAAGTATCATGGAAAAGAATATTTTCTTTATTTCAGAAGATATTCTGTAAAATCTACGAAAAGAAGGAAATATTTTTATTCTATAAGAATATGTGTTAAGAGTAATGGAAAAGTATATAGTCTTCTTATATGGAGAATACAACTTTTTCGGTGTAAAGTCTCGCACAGGGACCTTTGCTAAACTTTCCAAGATCTGTTATTTTAGTAGATTCATCAATTTAGTAAGGCGAAAGATTTCAACAATATTTTGACAGAATGTCAAAAACAGTGCGTTTGACAGAACTTTTGAATCTCATCGATCACTATGTTTAATACACAATAACTTTTAAATGTCATCAATCACCACTCCATTTTTATCTTGTGCTTTCTGAACAGTATTTACGGAACAATATTTGTTAAACACAATCTCCAAAAAAGTTTCATTAAATTTTGTTAGATTAAGCTAAAGTACGTTTCCTCTGAGCGAGAGTTGAGATGTGTAAGTCTACTACTCACACATTCACTCTTATTCTTACGTGATAAAAGAATTTTATTACATTACGCTTCTTTCATTGATAAATTTATAGTAAATAAGCGACAATTGTGACGTTTTGAAGATTACTCAGAACAATAAACTTGACAATAAATGTCAAGGACGAGATGATTGACTGCGCATTTCTATATATTTATCAAGAAAAAGACACGGCATTGATATTTTCCGTTATTTTCAGGAGACATGATGTAATTAGTTCTACAATTAATAGGTATATAACTGCATGTTGACATAACCAAACGATAAAGCGTTGAATGAACGATAAAGCAACTTTGACGAAACTGCTACGAAGCATATTGCGAAAATCGAATGACAGTACACATTTTTGCGACTTATCTTTATATAAATATATTATAGGTAAATCTTTAAAAAAACGGAACCAGCAGCTATGATCTTGACCTTCATATATATGATAGAGGCCAACCTCCTAAGTAACGTTTAGAAGGTTTAACCGTCGCTTGTTTCTCGTTAAAAAGTTATTAAGTTACAAGTTACAAAGTTTAAGTTACAAAAGAAGTTGCATAAAATAAATGTAATGTTTGGACACTATATATACCAAAACATCGAATTTGTAAGCTACGAAGATGCCAGCCGTATGCACGTATACACATATACACACACACACACACTGCTCGCCAGTCGCGCGCTCGCCCACCTGCCCGGCGAGCGGTACGTGCGTATGTTCTACTCATTGTCAGTGGCATAGCCAGGGAAGGGAAGGGCTGAGGGGACTGCAGCCACACCAAAATTTATTTTCTGGGTTACACTACCAGGTCTGTAAATATGAAACCGGAGATGCCCTTAGATGGCCCATAGATGGCCCTAGCTGTCAATGTAGTTACCGTCAAACCGCGTCATTGGCGCCATTTCCTTGTTGACATCTCTGACAAAGATTTTCAACTCACAACAATACAAGTTTTATACAACAGCATAGTTTGTAATAGCGTTGAATATGTCGAATTTTGTGCCTGGAAACTACGATTTGCAGACAGCATTGATTTTCTGTTACCATTTGAAGAAAACTGCTGCAGAATCGCATCGAATGCTTGTCGAAGCTTACGGTGAGCATGCTCTTGGTAAATCACAGTGCTTTGAGTGGTTTAAAAAATTCAAAAGTGGCGATTTTGACGTGAGAAACGAAGAACGTGGAAGACCACCGAAAAAGTTTGAAGACAGCGAATTGCAAGCATTGTTGGATGAGGATGACACTCAAACGCAACAACAACTCGCGGATCAATTAAATGTGACACGAGAAGCCGTCTCCATACGTTTGAAAGCCATGGGAAAGATCCAGAAGATGGGAAAATGGGTTCCACATGAACTGAATGAAAGACAACAGAAAAACCGAAAAACCACTTGCGAAACGTTGCTCGCCAGGTACAAAAGAAAGAAAAACATTTCTCCATCGAATTTTGTCTGGCGATGAAAAGTGGATATATTTTGAGAATCCTAAGCGTAAAAGATCATGGGTAACTCCAGGCGAACCATCGACATCGACTGCAAGGCCAAATCGCTATGGACGGAAGACAATGCTCTGTGTTTGGTGGGATCAGAAGGGTGTGATCTATTATGAGCTGCTAAAACCTGGCCAAACCGTTAATACTGAACGCTACCGACAACAAATGATCGATTTGAATCAAGCTTTGCGTGAAAAACGACCAGAATATAAAAAAAGGCAACACAAAGTGATTTTGTTTTATGATAATGCACCATCACACACAGCAAAACTGGTCAAGGAAACGATTGAGGCGTTTAGTTGGGAAATACTTTCGCATACGGCTTACTCACCAGACTTGGCTCCGTCCGATTACTATTTATTTGCATCGATGGGACACGCACTTGCTAAGCAGCGCTTCCGTTCTTACGAAAATGTACGAAAATGGCTCGATGACTGGTTTGCCTCAAAAGAGCAACAGTTTTTTTGGCGTGGCATCCACAAATTATCAGACAGGTGGGAAAAATGTATAGTTAGCGATGGGCAATACTTCGAATAAAATATTTTTTATCATTTTCATACAATAAACGTGTATTTTCTATACAAAAATTCGAGTTTCCTATTTACATACCTGGTAAGTGTAAGAAAAATTTTTTCGAATAACTTTTTTTGCTCGTCAAGAATGAAAAGTACAATCCCCCCCCGAAACTTTTTTCTGGTTACGCCACTAGTTCAAAGCAACAATATAAAATAAAAGAGAAAACATTATTTTACGCATTTATATACGTGTAATTTTGTTTACACATTTCATCTGTGTAAGTTTATATATTTAAATGCATACTTTTTACACGTGTAAATGAAACATATACTGCTAGCCCACGGTAGCAATTTATAAGATAATCTGTGAATTGTATCTATATTATAATAATATTACAATATTGTAAACTCAATATTACGACTTTAAGTGGAAAGTACATATATTTCTACCAAGCTAATGTTAAAATCAAGATAACTTTATATATTCGTACTATTATATATGTGTATATGTATACACATATAATATCATAAAATATTTCATATATAATTAAATAAATTAATTGAACACATAATATCATAAAATATTTCATATATAATTAAATAAATTAATTGAACACAATATCATAAAATATTTCATATATAATTAATTGAATCAATATTTTATGTAATATTTGGAGCATTTTTATTGCAGTAAATCTTGACCATAGATTTTTTTTAAACAATTTCAAGTTATTTCACACTGTTAAGAAGTATTAGGAAGAAATTGATTGCTCCTGAGTTATATATGTTTTATTGTTTCGGATAGAAAACATTGTTTATCCATTATAGATAATCGTACTCATTGCATTATATATTTTTTCTTTCTCAAAATTTTAATTACGAAAATACTTGACATAAACAATATTAAATATCATCTAAGTGCTAGCCTTTCTTTTGCTACGCATTTATATTGAGATAAAATTAATTCTAAATTCACTAAACAATTTACTTTTAAAGTTTAACCTTCACATACATCATTCATTTATTTCTGTATACAATATTTATACATATAAAACACGTGTTATAATCGTAATATTAAATTTGTATACACGCGCGCACAGACATAAGTATATCTGTGTACCTATAATGTTAAAATCAACAATTCTTTGATTTTAGTGATATATATTTGCATTCGCTTCTTACATTCATAAAATTTGTACTTGCCTCAAGCGGCTTGTATTGGAACAAATTTTATCTTCATATTATTCGGACGAAGAATAAAATCTATATTTATCCGGATGTCTTTTAGATAATCAATAGGTTCTAAGTAGAAATTGTGCACGAGATAAGCTATTATAGCCTTCAACTCCAACATAGCGAATCGTTGACCTGCCACACACATTTATAACTTATGTATTAAAAACTGTCTATATCTAGAGATCGCATCGCGAGATGAGCATCGCGCTAGCTTACCTATACAATTCCGTGGTCCTGCACTGAATGGCAAGTACGAATAAGGATGACGCTTTTGTATCTTTTCAGGCAAAAATCTATCTGGATCGAATACATCGGGATTCGGCCAGAAATTGGGATCTCTATGAACGTGGAAGATATTGAGATTTGTCATTGTTCCACGGGGTATTACATATGAATCTGTAAAATGTATTTCGTAATCAGGTGTAACTTATAAACACGCGATAATTAAATATTATGATAATTTCTACGTTTAAAAAATATAAAAAATTAATCATCTTACTTATGGTTACCTCATTTCAATTTAATTTTGAAATATTAAATTTGGAATATGTTTACATATTCATAAAGATTCATGGCTGTTACCGCGTAATTGCACATTCTCCGCGGTGACTCGTGTTATGAAAAACACACTGGGGTACAGTCGCAACGATTCCTTCAAACATCTTTCTAAATACGATAGATTCTGCAACGACGTCATAGTCAATGTGCCCTCACATTGCTGCATCACTGTTTTAACTTCCTCTCTGACGCGATCCTGTACCACCAACACTGATTAAAATTACACTACTCCGTGATACTTACACATATACACCAAAAAATAGTTTCAGTAATTGTCTACGTATATATTTAAATTTATTTTAGAGATAGTTTTCGATTATTCTCATTTGATCAATTAATTTCAATCGATACGTGAAAAAATACACAGCGATGAGTATTTAATGCTTCTATCTTTTCAACAGGATTTAATTAACGACTTAATGATTGAACAAAATTAATCAGATGCTGCTTTTAATTACATATCTCATGTTTCTATGGAGAAAAGCACCTGAATATCCTTGTGTTCTGCTAATAGTAACAGAGTGAAACATATAGCCATCGATGTTGTGTCATGACCCTATAATCAGTTTGCGTGTTAGTTGTGTTCGTATAATATATCAGACTGTCGAGAAAAATTACACGAGGGTATACCTACTTCAAACATGAAAGTATCCACCTCCTCTCTGATATCCAAATCACTCAAATTATTTTCCTGAGACATAGATATTAGAAGATCCAATATGGCGAATCGCTTTTTTCGAACGGGATCAGAAATATCACAATTACGATTTTGCGATATTAGAATGAAGTTGAAATTCATACTTAGTTTACGTACTTCCAAGTATTTCTGCGTTATCTGTTTCCATCGGATCGTTATTTGTAATATTGTGCAAATACTTATTGTCAGTACGTTTGTGATACATTTTTCTTTCCGCAATTATCTAAAAATGATGTCAACGTAATAAAATATTAATTTATTTTACGGCTTATCTAATTGCGCCTTGACTTTTTCACTAATATATCAATACTTATATACAAGTTTTTCGTTCTAATTTTGTACATTAGAAAGTGTACTGAATGTAAGTAATTTAATTTTGACGTACTTTTTCAGTGAACCCATGTAAATTTTGTAGTGTCTTCTTGTGTTTTCTGCCCTCAGGCGTTAATGTGAATAACGTATCGTTCAACCAGGGCCTCATGACTCTAAACGACATAAATATATAATGCTAAAAGTAAATCTGAAAAAATAATAATATTAATAGGCTCTGAATAATCACGAGAAGTGAATAACAAATAAGATTTAATTCTATCTAATGAAATCAAATTATATTGTGGTATTGTTTTTTTTAGCATTATCTCTTTTTCTTTTATACTGCATATCGTCTGGCCAACATTAGAATGTAAGTTTTGTCTTCGATTCAATAACACACTCGATTTTTTAAAAATATTTCAATATTAATATTTTAAGGGATTTAAATAATGTTCTTTTAAGGCTGAAAGGATTATTTTGTGCGATTCGCGAATGACGTATTGTTCGCGTCTGTACTTTAATTATAATTATTTTTTTTCGCATGGTGCCCCAATAATGATTTACATGATATTACAATTTGTGATATCATGTAAATACGGATATTTGGATTATTAATTACCTATATATGAAGAACCGACCCATCTGGCGAACCTCCTGTCGATATTTTTCTTGCGCCGTACCGAGATTGTGCAGAGAAGTGCCCATGGCAGTTTCTACAATTGTAGGCAGTTCTCAGATATACAAAATTAATTTTCTTTACAATTATGTGACAGAAATATATAATGATTTACCGCATATTATGTTCAGCGTATGTTCAGAAATAAATGATTCGATATCCACTTCAACCATCCCGCCGACATCCTTTAATTTCTGCACTATGTGTTTACCCTCCTCAATTAAAATATTTGTGAATTCTTGCAGTATACTAAAATGAAATGTAGGCGTTAGCATTTTTCGCCGTGAATGCCATTTGGCACCTAAAACAGAAATAAGATTAAGACTAAGATTAATTCTAGAATGATTTTTGCAACAGGAATGTTATGGCAGATCGCGCGATATAAAGTAAAAACAATAATATAAAATGAACAAAATTGAAAGAAAAAAATACCAATAACTTTCGCATATATTGAGCAAGTCTCACGATTTTGAGTTTAATCTTCACTTATATCTTCATTAATTAATTTTCTAATGTCATAATGCCTCTCGTTTTATCGGAATATCTGAATAAAGAGATGAATACTCAATATCTACAAAAAAATCTTAAAAGTAAAAAAAATTTTAATTGGTGCAAGCAAATAGGAACCAACTGAAAATTAGGTGATCAGAAGCGATATCTCTATTTTGAAAACTAATATTTCTGTTGTCGCAACCGAAAATATTCGTCTGAACATTCAGCGATTTTAGAACTCGGTTGAAGCAACTGAGAACAATTGACTACAGAAGCCTCATAAAGGAATTTTTCTGTTCTTATAGCAGAGTTTTCGTCTGATCCCTGAGCAACCGAAAATTTGGTTGCACCAACAGAATTGTTTTTTTCCGTGTAGTACACAGTACTCGATGATATAAAGCGCACATATGCGATTATAATAATAATTTTATTGTGTTACCTGTACTAGTAAGAAGCCCGTCATTTAACCATGGACGCAAAATATCGTATAATGGCCCTTTTTCGAGGTGCTTCGTGTTATTTAATATTACCTAAAACCACAAAAAGTAAAGTTGAGTGCAACATCAGTTTATTGTATCATTGAAACTCACACGCAGCTAAATAAGCAATCGCTTCACGAGCCATGTTTTAGAATGTTTACTCTTTTTGCAATATATAAGTAATAATACAATAACATATACAATAACAATACAAAATGTTTCTGAATTGCAAATTTAACAATATATAGTTGTTTTAAGAATAATTTTTCTATATATACAAAAATATACAAAAATAATATACAAAAAATATTTATTTGGATTTAATTATGTTCTATTAAATATATAGAAAGTTTTGCAAAAGTATATTATAAATTTATAATCACAGTTCAGCACATGATGATTTCTCGCTCTTTACATTATCTTTATATAAATGTCTTCTTGAACTTTGATACATTATCTGCGAGAGTGCATAATACTAAAAGGCGAACTCTTGCTCTCTTAAGAAAAAAAGATGTCTGACATAAAACGCTCTAATACACATGTATAAGTTTTATAGATGAATTTATCGATAATAGTTAAGACGCGATTATGTATTAGTTAAGGCGATGGCTGTCGCCTGAAAATTAAAGATAAAATAATGATGCCATAAATAAGTGTTTCTCAATCTCGATAATGATGCGATAAACAAATGTTTTTCAATCGTAAGTGTGTCGTGTGTGTGTCGCTAAGAAACAATCATGTTTCAGCCATTTTCAGTGAAATATCGTGGGTACAGAACTCGCTTGCCAAACATCGTAGGTTTTGATTTGTCAAATTTTTTTCTTTAGTGTTTCGAAATTTTATGTGTTTGTGTAAAAAATTATGTGGGACTTCATGCTCATGTTAATGTTTTTCCTGCACATCGTAACTTCGCTGAACACCCTATAGATGTGTAGATATATATTTTACAGGATTGGGAACATTACTTTTTAAAAGTAACGCGTTACCGTTACCGTTACTTGCGGTAAAAAGTAACTCGTTACCGTTACTCGTTACTGATTCTAAAAAGTAACGCATTACCGTTATTTGAAAAGTAAAGATAAAAAAATCGTTACTTTCCGTTACTTTTATAAAAAAAAAGTTAAAATCGGCTTATAAAACGAATAGTAAGAGAGACAGTACATAAATTATACATATATAAAGACAAAATATAAGATATTTAAGTGGAAAGCATACATTCTTGCATAACGACATAAAGCCCATTCTACATTAGTCGCAAATTGCAAGGTCGCAAAGAAATTAACTAATTATAGTCGATTGTTCTTCTTGTGATCAAAGAATAATCAATCATGATTGGTCACTTTCCTTGCGATTTTGCGATTGCAACTAATGTAGAATGGGCTTTAGGGGCGCCGCACACTAATTGACATAACAGTAACGTAAGACGTATCGTAAAAATGGACAAATTACAATCGAGTATTCACAAAAATGGCGAAATTTTACAGTTCGACGATATTCAAAGTGATTGGTCAATTCTTACGGTACGTCTTACGTTATTGTTATGTGAATTCGTGTGCGGCGCCCCTTAAGCGCGGTCTACAATGAGAACTTAAGCCATAAAATTTAAGCTTTAAGTTCTAAGTCGTAAGAAGTTGACCAATCACAGTCAATTATAAGAAAAATAATTGATGGTCAGTGACTGGTCAGTTTCTTACGGCTTAGAGTTTAAAGCTTAAATTTTATGACTTAAGTTCTCATTGTAGACCACGCTTTACAGGCTTTCTGCAATAAGCAGTAAGTTTTAAGTTGCAATAAAATTGACTAATTACAGTGGATTATTCTTCTAGTAGTCGACTATGATTGGTCAATTTTATTATGACTTAAGATTTATTGCTTATTGTAGAATGGAGTTTGCGGAAGGCAGCACATTAATTGTTTATCGTTGCAAACTTTCGTCGTGTGACAAGCGTTGCGACGTTCTGTGTACAGAAGCCACTATAGTAAAAAAACAACGATACAAGTAACGATGAATTTCGTTACTCGTTACTGAAGAAAATGTAACGCCGTTACTTTTTCGTTACTGATATAAAAAAATAACGGCGTTACCAAATTGTTATAAAAAAAAAGTAACGAAATAGTAACGTCGTTACAAGTAACGCGTTACTTCCCAACCCTGATATTTTACTTTTCATTTAAATACCTCGATATCATCTGGATGATGAATGGTTACCAATCTATAATGGAGATTCCAAAATCTAAAAGTGGTATAATATTGGTCCGAAAGAGTACGAAAAAGGCACCAGAGTTGTTCTGAAGAACATGTGAATATATTATAAATAATGATACATGTAAAATGTGCGTTGTTAACATTCTCATTCTTTTGAATATACTGTGCTGTTATTCATGTAAGTCAAACGTGCAATAAATTACAGCAAATAAAATTACAATAAATTACAGCAAAATTAAATAAGAAGGAGAAAAAATTAGTGGGCTATAATGTTTATAGTTTTATGTTATATGTAAACTCTGTATCTTCTTACGTGAATAAATAATAAGTTGAACGTTAGTAAACTATTATTAATTAATGATGAATATATCAAGAACTTTTATTTACCTCTTGTTTGTTGTAATAGCAATAAATTGCCAAAAACCGGAAGGATCTTCGGTCCCGGTATTTGATTCATTAATCGCCCGACTCTTGAATAATGCACGCAACAATGATAAGCAAATGCAATAACGGCTACAATAATAAGTAATAAAAGTACGGCGGAAAACATTTTCTAGAACGCGATAGTAAACGGTAGTGGCGTTAAAGATTATCACAATGTATAATAACTGCACGACTTGTCGATGCAACGCGACATACAAGAATAGATATGTGTGAACTGTTGGTACAGCAATATATAATAATACAGAGACATCTGGTGTGACTTCCAGTGAAGTTCTAAAGTGATTGATAAGTATACTTTTGAAACTGTTCTATGATAATATCTCATTATTAACATTGATGATTGAGTTTCTTAGATGTCGTTCAATACCAATTTGTACGCATATTAATCCTTTTTTTAATTAAATATTTCATAACAGCGCATTAATAGTTATATTAACGTGTTAATATAATTTAATTCAACAATGTAACAGTTATTAATATATTAATATGTTGCAAATGGCACTAAAGTCACACTAAAAATTCAAGTTTGTTATTTCAAACACATAAACGTATAATTCGGCTGAATTTTTTTACATGTTTCTCACTATTTTAAGTCACACCATTTAACACGCCTAAAAGAGATGTATAAATTTTAATTTAATGTATTTAAACATGTTAAATGAAGAAACATGTAATTAGAGCTATAATAACTGTAATATTATTATAACTGTATAATTTGTAATGCACTGTTGTAATAGATCTTTTTTATTAATTACATGTAACGATAAACTTTACCACATGCTATCTTCCAATTATCATGGCAATATGTCAATATATATAACTTCAAAACTTCGCGATTAATCTCGTCCGATAAAATCTCATAAGATAAAAAAAGTCTCGATGAAAAACGAATATTAACATAAATGAATAAAGTCGACATTGAATTTCGATACGATCGTCATCTATAATCGTCTATAATATCGTTTATTTTTATCGGTTGTTTTTTTTGTATTATCTTGTTCTTTTTTTACCAACTGCCATTGAGCATTTAAGTATTGCAATATAACTGACGATCGACTGTTGTAAGGAATAGCTTAAATTAATTTCGAATCACATATATATTTGTATTGAAAAAAAATATTTATTAGGATTTAAATATGTTCTATTAAATATATAGAAAGTTTTGCACAAGTATATTATAAATTTATAATCGCAGTTCAGCACATGAAGATTTCTCGCTCTTTACATTATTTTTATATAAGTGTCTTCTGGAACTTTGATACATTATCTGCGAATGCATAATACTAAGAGGCGAAGTCTTGCTCTCTTAAGAACAAAATATATACATTATGTTATAATCTTCTGTGCACTGTACACGGTGTTCTATAAAAATAGTTCATAAATACAGTTTCAGCGAGACTTACTGGTACAAACATGCAAAGGAATCTTCTAAAAAATGAAATATGATATGAAGGAAAAAATCATTTCCAAAGTTCAATTTGTATCTAAACAAGATAACATTTTGTATCCAATGCCGTCATATCTGTTGTGCATCGTGTAAAGGAATGAAAACTTATCGTCGTTCCTGCAGCTAACTTTAGAGATATCTTTATAAAAAATATCTATAAATATTTATAAAAAGATATAAGATATATCTTTTGCTAAAGATATCTTCAAAATATTGCCGCTAGATTTTCTTTATCATCAAATTTGCCCTTTCGTATTTTATACAATGTTTTCTAGCGTAGCAACACTGCAAATCCGAATATGTTATTCTTAAACGTATAAGCGTGTAATTCACTGAAACTCTTCTCACACATCTCTTACGGTTTTAAATCACGTCATTCAACACGTTTATGATGTATAAATTAAAATTTTATATGTTTGAGCGTGTTAAATGATGCAACTTGAGACGATAAGAAACTTATCGTCTCTTATAAAAAGAGATTCAGCCAGTTATATGATCAAACGAACTCTAGAGTGAACTTCGATCATAATTATGCGAATGCTTTCGTCCGAGTAGATAAATAGTAGTCATGCCACATAATACTCCCTTTCAACAAGTGTTTTTAAAGTTTGACCAGAAAAATTTTTAATGCGAGTGTAGGCTGCTCAGTATGTGCGTTCTATGTTGTTTAGTATGTTGCTAGGTTACTTTATGGTTTAAAGCTTGTCACAAATCGAATCTGGACAAAGATAGAAAAACGTAGCATTTTCTAAGAATGGGAGGGTGTCTCTACTCGGACGAAAGCATTCGCATAATTATGACCGAACTTCACTCTGGAGTTCGTTTGATCATACATGGAAAAAAGAGTTTGGTTGAATTAACCAAATATCTGGTCGAATATGAACGATCCAGAAATTCCGATTAAAGTAACCCGAATTCTGTTTAAGTCAACCAAACATCTTGTTAACTTAAACAGAATTCGGGTTACTTCAATCGGAATTTCTGGATGGAATTTGGTTAATTCAATCAAACCTTTTTTCCGTGTATAATTATGCTCTGCATTTCGTAGATAAATGTAGCTATTCAAAGATAACAATTTGTGGCTATAAATAAAGTCATTATCTTGGAAGCATAACAAGAAAATTATTTAGTTAATCTTTAATTATTTATTTTTAAATTCTTAAAAGAAAGAAATATTAAGATAGACTTTAATGACAACGTTCAATATCGTTCAATAAAATAAATGCAATTGTAAGCTTATAAACATTAACTAAGTTAAGTATAAACATTTTATACTTAACGGTTTAAAATGATCGCTTCTGATGCCGACATTAGAGGCCGACATTATAAAATTTCGCAAAAGTCAAAGAGTCCTCAAACCAGCCTACTGCATTCCAAATTTCGTCTGCGGAGCATGACGTGTTAAATGTGTCGTAAAAATGGAGGTATTAACTCCTGCCTCGGAGAGAGTTAGCCTTATCCAACAATTAATAGATTGACTTGAAGCCTCCCGTATAGGTTTTTTTAAAAGTTAGAAATAGGATAGAAGGGGATTCTGGCATTAAATTGAATTAAGAATATAATAACGCAGAAACGATACGACAGATAAAGTAGGCTGATCCTCAAAATGACGAAATATCATTAAAGATTAATGGTCGATTAATTTCTGAGGTTTTCAGACGATCAGGAACCTTAATAATTACAGTATCCGATAAAAATTGTTACTGCGTTTTATAAAAAAACAGCGTTTATACTCTGTGCATTGATGCTAATATTAGTAAAGTAGCAAACTTTCGAGTGAGAAGCTCTAGGTTTAAACATTCATGAGGTCATAAGGAGACCAGGTATGTAATAACGGGCGACGGATCCCACGTTAAAGCATATTTTGGTTTCGACGGTTTTAACACGGATACACTTTTGAAGAAACGCCTCATTCTTTCATCGAAACCAAGATTAATATTAGTTATTAACGATAATGCAGAACGATAAGAATTAAAAGTACCATATGCTGTAATATTTTGAAGTTATGCTGATAAAAAACTGAGAACCTGTGGTATGTTTGGCTGAAACTATTCGAATCAGCCAAAAGGCGGAAAAGCATAGAAATAAAATTCACTCCAATTTATAGTAAAGGCATCAATGACAAAAGCAAAAGGATCAGATAAAAGTACAACAGACCGCGGTGCGGGGAGTCTGGGAGACGTAGCCCCCCTCCCCCCAGTTACACGGTTAGAGACTGGCATCTTTTTTATTAATATCTCGGAAACTATAAGCGACCGCCATATAGCCTATATAGTTTATATTATCGAAATATGATAAAAAATAAAAAATGTGCCTGTCCCTAGTCGTGTACTGTGTCCCTAATCGTAACTGGGGGGTTACACCTCTCAGAGCTCCCGCACTGCGGCGGGGGGAGGCAAGTCTGTTGTACTTAAGCTAAAGAGTGAGAATTTCTCACAAAAGTGTGAGAAAAAGTGTGTATTTATAAAACTTAAAATATAAACTTAAAATAAATATAAACTTAAAATATAACACGGGCGAACGCGCGGGCGAGCAAGCAGTGTATGTGCACAGAGAGAAAAAACTGGTAAGTATAACAAACTGCATTTAGTTACAGAAATTCATTGAATCCTTAGTAACTAATACTAAATATGATAATAATTACCAAATATTTAATAGATCGGGAGTATGACGTAATTGCATTCACAGTAACATCAATTAAATAATTTAGTAATAGTTACTTAATGTTAAATATTTAATATGAAATATATTACAGTTATGAACAGATATTTGATAATTGTTATGAAATCGTTACATCTCATATAATAAAAAAATCAGTAAGTACGAGTTCTATTTTGTTACCAGTATAAGTATGTTTTGTTGCAGCACAACGAAAAATTCATTCATTTGCAGCTATTACATCGTTTCAATATCTATTATTACAGATAGTTGGTTGAACCTATCAAAAATTTTGTAACTATTACAAAATCGCTTATTTTGCTCAACTATTCAATAAGTTTTATTTACCAAATATATTCTGGAAGCAAATAAATTTTACTGCTGTCAAATAAATAATTTATTTTACAGAACTAAATTAATTAATAAATATTGCCATAGCTTTGGCCCGCTATATTTACGTCTATCATTTAGTAATAGTAACCAAATTTTGATAATATTTACTAAATTCTTCTCTCAGTGTGTGTGCATGCATGCGTATGCAACTGAACGTAACATACGCATATACGTGTACTATTTACCATATTTCAATATGTACTGTGTGCCAAAATTACGTTCCGTTTATAAAAGTTTTTTGTTAATAACTTTTTAACAAACAACGAGCAACGGCTAAAATCTTCTTAACGTTACTCAGGAGGATGACTTCTATCATATATATATAAAGGTCAAGGTCATAACTGCTGGGCCCGTTTTTCTAAAGATTTACCGAGAGAGAGAGAGAGAGAGAGAGAGAGAGAGAGAGAGAGAGAGA